GCTCCCAGCCTTTGCTGCCCCAGGGCCTCCATTTCCTGGATGGGTGTGCACATGCACCCAGATTCCTTGGAGGATTTTTTAATCCAAGCTTGTAAATATTCACGTTTTCCAGCTAGGAAAAAAAAAATCCCCTGTTGTTGGTTATCCTTCTTCAGGGCTAAATGGTGTCTGGCATCAGCAAGTCTCCAAGCACCCAGAGCTTCTCCTACACCCTTCCACTCAACCCTGGTCTTTCCCCAAAAAGAGAAGCATCTCCTTAACCCAAACCACTCCAATCAGCTAACCTCTTGTTTGAGAAAAACCACACAGGATGAACTTGCAATGAAATATTCCACTTTCTAGGTTAGGGAAGGGAACAGGGTTCAGTCCTGCATTTGGGGGTGGCACCTGGCTTCTCATCTGTGTTCAAAGTGGGAAACTGGAGCAGATTCTGTGTCCCACATGGCAACAGCATCTGGCTGCTCCTTCCTGGCCATGAGCTTTGAAATCATCTACAATAAATAAATAAGTACAACAATAGGTCACAGCATACCCGGTGGGACTACCCATGGAAAAGGGAAAATACGTATCATGGGGAAAAAAACTGCAGATCCTGTTCAGCTGCTCCTTTCTGTTTCATTTAACACACTTGAAGGTGGCCATGCTGGGAAAATGCCTTATTCCATTACTGGGCTGTTCACACCTGCTTCAGTAGAGCCAGGAGAGCCTCATCCAGCCAATCCTGAGTGCAAGGAACATTTCAGCCCTTTCACAGCCATCTGGCTGCATCCCACTGCAGCTGGGGAGGTGCTCTGATGTGCAAAGCACCCCCACCCCTCCCAGGGGACAACCTGCACCACTGGCTGTCACCTCGCTGCAGCAGGCACTGGTCCTGCCCCTCACGGACCAAGAGCCTCATCTGGATTTGTGCATCCTTCTGGGAGGGAGCTGCTCCTCATCCAGCCTGGGATGCTGGAAGCAGGGTCCCCTGCGAGTGAGAGGTGTGCTCTGCTTCACTCCACTGGCCAGAACTGCCTCAAACTTTCCAGGGCAAGGCTGTGCTGTGATTGTGGTGTTTTGTCCATGGCTACCAGGTTTATGGGACACCAGGGAGACCCCCTTTTCCTCCCATCCCCCTCCCACTGCAAGCATTTTGTTTTTCTTCTTAATTAGTGGAAAAAATTCCTGAACCTGTTAGAGGAAAGGAAGGTCTCTCTTTCTCTCTCTCTCTCTCTCTCAATCTCTGTGTGTCTCTCCTCGGTCAATTACTGAAATACAAACAATATCATGGTCATGGTGAAACATTTTTTCCACCTAAATGTCACCTCTGCAGATTTTAAAGGCGCAGGCCACTTTGCACAGTCCCTCAGCATGAGAGATGCCCAGGAGGCATTGCAGGCACCCTGCAGAAACGCAGGCACTTCCCAGAACTGTTCCTCACAGACATCAATCAGTGTACCCTCCCAGCCTGCTGATAGCCATGAATCCTGCTGATCCCCACCCGAGGCCTGGGGAGTCCTGGAATCCCCTCCGTGGGGGGGATGCAGGTGAGGAAGGGCTTCTTTCTGGGAGCACGCCTCGGTTCAGCCATCAGCACTTTTCCTGTGCTGACCTCATTTACTTTTGTCTCTGATGTTGCTGCCCACAGCTGAAGAGACCAGCAGTAGCTGACACCATCTCCTCTGCTCTCCCCTGGGTCTGTGCCGAGATTCCTGCTGAAAAATCATTTCTTTTCATGCAGAAAACAGCCAAGCAGGGTCTGGGTTTGGGGACCAGGGCCTGCCTTCACTGACTGCACCAGTCACCTTTGCCAGGGCCAAAGTTCAGGATATTTGGGAACTTGGGAGTTTCCAAAGCTGCCGGGACAAGACCTAAGGCCAAGCTGCTTGCCTGGTAGTTCTGCACCATCCATTGAATTTCTGCAGCATGTGCAAAAAAAATTCACAGCAAACATTTTGAAAAGTGCATCGACTGTCAAACCACAAACCTCCCTGCTGCTGGGTCCCTGCCGTGTTTGGGTTGCTGCTTAATCCCTTGCAAACAGCTTTATTGAGATAGAAATAACAAAGTAATAAAAAAGGGGGTTGTTTCCCTTGGGGCTGCCTTTGCTCCAGACTTTGCTGTGAATCCAAGGCAGTCCATCATGCCAGAGTCCTATGTGGAATCTGCCTGACTGTGGGAGGAAAAATAGTACGTGAGCCCTGCCATAATTTTATATTTTGGTGTCTTTAATCTCCTGGCTCCTCTGCCAAGAGCTTCACGGATCCACTGTTAACTCCTTGTGCTACCCAGTGTCTGCACTCCCTGCAGGGAGGCCACAGCGTTTGGGGTTACCTCCTGTTCCTCTTAGCACTCAGGTTTTCACTCTGCCCTGCCACAAAATCCACAAACAGCTGAGGCTGCCTGGCTTCCCTGCAGTGTCTTTTAAGATGGGAAATTCCCAAGCCTGCAACAAGTTCACTTGGTCACGGGCAGCTCGTGGATCAGGGAGGGGCAGCACCCTTTGGTCACGGGCTGGCTGAAGGCGACTGAGGAACAGCTGCATGCTCAGGCAACGAGGTTTTGTTGTGGGGTTTTTTTCCAAAATAGCTTTCAATTCTTCGTATTTTCCTCCTTCTTTGTACCCTGCTTTTCCCTTGGCATGGCTGGCTTCTCCATCCCTGGGGCCTGCCAGGTATTGGTGCATGGACAATGAGATGGGGCCACACTCCAACACATCCTTATCCCACCCTGGGATAAAGAGGAAAAGCACTGCTCTCCACGGAGCTGTCTCCAGCCAGGTCTGGATCCTGGGCAGGGGAGGCAGCAGGACACGGTGGCTGTCAGGGTGGGGGACAGCTCGTGCCAGGGAGGCAGGAGCTGAGCACAGGGAGGAGAACGCCTGCGTGGGCTTTGTGCCACATGGCTGGGCTGGAGAAGGCTCTTCCTTCCAGCCACAGCCAGGTGTGCAGAGAGTTTAAGCTCTTTGTATTCCTGAGTACCAACAAAATAAGCAGTCAAGGGTTTTCCCAGGTCTGTTCTTGCAAACAGATTTTTCACTTCATTTACCCATGAGACAGATTTAGTGTTGCAAACTGTCAATGCTAAAAACCAGGAAGTCTGGCTCTAGAACACAAGGGTTTTCTCCTTGTGCCTGAATAACCCCCAGCCTTGCTCTCCCATCTGTGTGCTGCTTTCAGGAGCTGTGCTATCACAGGGGGATCCATTGCTGCAGCCTCCCTCCCCTGCCTGGAAGGCTGGATGTGTTTCCTCCACCAAAAGATGAACCTCCTGTTGGATGACAAATGCCAAGACTGGGCCTTTAGGTAAAGTAGCAGTTGGGCAATTAAACCAGACACAGCTGCCAAAACTCAGTTGCATCTCTGAGATCACCTGTAGCAGTGGGTTCATCAAGCTGCAGGAGAGTTTCCAACAGCATGCTGCCAGGATTTATTTCCTGGCTATATTAAAATTTATTTCCGGGATTTATTAAAGCCTGGCTTTGTGGGGCGGGTGTAAACCACCTGCTCCACCCTTGAGAAGCAGCACAGGTCCCTCCTTCCTGAGCTCCACGCTGGGCTGTGCTGAATGTGCACCAGGGTGCTGGGGCAAGCAAGCAGCACCTCAGCAAGCCCCTGGAAAAGCCCCTGGACAAACCCCTGGACAAGCAGCTTCCAGGAATTAGGAACCTGGCTCCAGGTGCCAGGGCTCACAGCCTCTCAGCACCAGTTCATTCTGAGCTGTTAAAAGCACAGGCTGCACTTGGGGTTGCCTGGGGACCTCCATGGGTCGGGACTGTGCTGGAGCCTGGGACACCAAGCCCTTCCTCCCACTCCCCAGTCCAGGATGATGCTCCCATGTTTCCTTTGCCTCGTACCCCTCTTTGCACACTTCTTTTCTCAAAGTCCCTGCTGACAGACCCTCAAGCCCAAAGAAGTCTCATGCCAAATATCTTTCTTTCCACTGAATTATCCTCTGAAAATCATCAAAGTGGGGATTGTGATTTTGCCTGTGTTTTCATTCTTTGGGGCAGATAGAGCTCACTGTTACTCCCTCCCTTTGGGGAATCTGAGAAAACAGGTCACAACCCCAAAATGATCCAGCAAGGTGCACACGTGTGAGCATCGAGCTTGTCCTTTAAGGACATCCTGGATTACTCCTGCACGCTGCTGTCCCAGGTTCACCACTGCAGCACAAGTCTCTGCTTGTGTCTCCTCACAGCTGAGCCATGGACTGAGGGTGCTGCACATGTGCCAGGGGGATGCCAAAATTGAGGCACAGGGCAGCACCTGCCTTTGCTCCCCACAGCATGGCACCCAAATCCAGGTGTGTGACACCTCCCTCGCCGGGAGGAAAGGGAAATGCAGCAGCCTTTCTGGCCAAGGGAAGCGCTGCTGCTGTCTAGACGAGGTGACTAAGGAGGGAAGGGGCCAACTGTTTGTACAGCTTTGGGAAGTGTAAACAGCACCGACTGTCCTGAGCCCTTCAAAGCAGAGGAATCCGGAGATGGGATGAAAGCACAGGGAAATTCTGGCCGGGTGTCCTAGCAGAGCAGCTGAGGAGAAGGGGGCCTCTTCAAGACAAAAATCCCAGCACCTGAGGGATTTCAAACCAGCCCAAGTGAGGAAGGAGGAGCGCGGCATGGCTGGCCATGGGCAGGGCTGAGCGTGGGCTCTCAGGACTTTCCCAGCTTTGGTTGCTTCTCTCTGCAATCTCAGAACAAGTGTCCTGAAAAGGAAACTTGAGGCCCTGAAAATCCTGCTGTGCCCTGCAGTGAGGCTGGTTTGGCCTCTGCTTTTCATTCAGCTCACAAAAGAAAGAGAAAATGCTGTTCAAGAGGTGATTTCCTTTTTTTTTTTTTTTTTACAACTTTAAATACAGTACTGAGTATAAATTAATCTTACATTAAAAAAAAAGGCAAAAAATTTAAAATAAAATAAAACAAAACCTCACCATATTTACAAACCAAAAGAAACAGATTTTTTTGGAACAGGGTAAGAAAGTGTCTTAAGACTTGAGGGCTTGGGGCTGGAGGGAAAAAAAAAAGGCAAAAAATTTAAAATAAAATAAAACAAAACCTCACCATATTTACAAACCAAAAGAAACAGATTTTTTTGGAACAGGGTAAGAAAGTGTCTTAAGACTTGAGGGCTTGGGGCTGGAGGGAGGGAGGGAGCAACGTGCTGCTTTGGCAGTGGTACGAGAAGTGCTCTGGGCTTGCAGGAGGTGAGGAATGGCTCCCTCCACAACTCGTAACAGCTCCCAGGCTGTGCCTTTGGCTACTTTCCCCATGTCCCTCCAGAGCTGTATCCCACAGCAGGGGTGTGTGCGAGGGGAGAAGTGCCATGTGATTGCTCCGGGCAGGCATTTTCTTCATGTATGCAGCACCCAGCACAGCACAATCCAAGACCCCGACTCCAAGGTGATGCTGGGAATGCCCATCACATGTAACAGTTCTGCTAATGGTTACTGACTATTACCTGTGCAAAACCAGCCCTTGCCCACACAGTCCTGCTCCCTCCTCAAAGACAGGCAGTGGCCCGGGAGTGACTCTGCAACTGACCCTCCAGATGTTCTATGGGTCCTCCTCACTCAGAAGAGCTCATTTCTGTCTCAGGTGGCTCCTGCCACCTGTGAAGACCATCCTCATTTCTTTCTCTATACCTACACAGAGCTGTCCCCATCATGGATCAACTTCCAAGCTCAGTGGGTTGGCAACATTGGCAGGGAAAGATTAGTGGGGGCATAGAGTGCAGGACACCCACGAAGGGGTTAAAAACCTCATGGGAATGACATGATTCTGCTTTCAAGACCACAGAGCAGGCAAGGACAGCTCACTGAGATTAAGTCATGCTTCTAAGTTTGGCTGTCCTTGGTCTTGTTGTGGTGCCACTTCACCTCCTGCAAGGAAGTTGTGCTGGGGAGGGGGGGTTGGTGCAGAGTGGGAGAAAAGGGTAACAAGAAAGAGAGAGATCAGATGATGCCTCTGCCTGCCCCGTCCCGGCCTCGCAGGCACGTTGCAGTAACAGTGTGCTTTTCTGCCAGCCCAGCGAAGCCGATGCACACACGTGCCTCTGAGCTTCCTGCCACCGGGGAATGAAATCCATTTAAGAACATATATATATATATTTTTTATATATGTATGTATAAATACACATACACACGCACACACATGCACACGTATATATATATATATATATACACACACACACATATACACACGCACACATCCAGAGTGAATTTAAAAAATAATTTGAGTCCAAGCCTGGAAAGTTGAATTCTCCACCAGCATGTGCAAAGATGGCTCTCCTTGGCAGGGGCCGGGGGCGTGGAGACGATTCTGCCACCTTGTGCTCCTTCCCCACGATCCAAACACCTTCCAGTCAGCACCAGGAGCAGGGAAAAGAGGGAGTGGGGGAATGCATTTGGCTTCTTTGTTTTGTTTCTTTGCTTGTTTGTTCTGTTCCCCGAGATGTTGTATACCTTAGTGGTTTTGGTTTTTCTTTTTAAAAATAAAATATACACACGCACGTTAAAAATATATCTCTGTCCAGGTAGGGCGATGAAAGTCCTTAGTGCATTTTCCATCATTGGTCGCCGCTCGCAATCTGAGATTTGCCTGTTGCCAAAAGGTAGGTCCAGTGCAAGAGTAGATCTCAGCTGGGCCCTCCCAGCCTTACCAGAAGCATGAGGGAAAGGGAGAATATTCCCCTTCTGGCCTCTGTCCATCTGTTTTTCTCCTTTTCTCGGAAGAAATTGGACCTGCTTTCCTTTTCACATTTTCCATCCTGTCCTCCGCAGCAGGGAAGGAATTGTCCTGTTCTCATCGCAAGCTGTGGCTGTTGGCATTCACGCTTTTATTTGTACTTTGTTCTTCTCTCATATATATATATATATGTAGGTCATCCTTGTCCTTTTGTGTGTGTGTGTGTGTTAAACTTTAAAATGAGGCTAATAAATGAAAGGGAGGCTTTGGTGGGAGAAGGTCCACTGATGGAAAGGGAAGCACCAATTGCCGTCTGAATCAGACGTCGAGGCAGATGGACAGAGAGGAAAAGTTATCATTCCAAGGACCCCATGGGGGCTATACAGCAAATATATTAAATAAACCTGGAAGTGAAACAAAACCAGACATAGCATTAGAACATGTAACCTTTTGCCCCCTGCAACTCCCCTCCTATCCCCTTTTCTCCTCTGGAAATATTTGTGCCAAAGGGCTGGATTAGAAGCCTGGGAGGACTTTTGACCTCTATTTTTTTCCCCTGAACAGCTTGAGCCAGAGCTGAGATTTGCATGGGTTTGCATCATTTTTACCCTGGGAACTTTAGGCTGGCCAGGAGAATCCTGGGATAATAAGAGCCCTCTTAGTGGTAAGCGTGGGAATCCCAGTCTCAAGACACTGCTCGGTGCCCCTTGTCCCCAGCTCCTGAAATGTCACACACGGAAGCCTGCTGTCCCCTCTCCCGGGGTGAGGGGAAGTGAATGTGAAGTGGTGGCCCGGGCTTATTCAAGTGGCTGTAGCAGAGCTGGAACTGCTGAGCTGTGGGCCAGGGCTCTGCCTGTTAAGCTGTGTCACAATTCAGCTCCCACCAATCTGCACCCCGGCTACTCTTTCCCTCTTTTCTGCACCTTTTCCTCTGATGGGGAACCAAGGCTTAGCCTCCTTCACTTGTACCAGTGAAATTCTTCTGATGATGAGGGAATTACTCCTGTTTACACAAGTCATGGAGAGAAGAATCAGACCCAGCCTGACAAAGTCCAGATCTCTTGACAGAGATTCCAGTTCTCCTTTTCCCTGGTATGACCTTTCTCATGCACACAGGCTTCCCTATAGGAAAGTGATGAACTAAAAGTGTTGCTGCTTTTCAGTCTTTCTGCCAACTCAAGTAAGGAAATATAAAAGGAAAAGGGATCCCTAGAGCAACATTAATTCTCTGTTTTCAATGGAGAACCAACAGAGAAACTAGAACAGGAGTTGCTCCACAGACGAGATGAATTACCTGGACCCCGAGGGGATTTAGGTGTAGGGAGAAGTCAGGCTTGCTCTCTGCCTGACAGGGAGGCAGGGAAAGGAGAGGGCGGGGCCTGAGAGCAAGGATGGCTGCAGCATGATCATTCCAACTTTGCAAAGAGCCTTAATTCCATAAATAGAATGCACTTGTTGGCACCCAACCTAGTTCTTCCTCCTCCTTCAGCCCAGGTTTTGTACTGCAGCAGCCCCACACTGAACGAGTGGCCAGTGGAGTGGGAAGGGTCCAAGATGCCATGTCCCAGGAGGACATCTCTCCTGAATGGAAAAGCAGCTCGCTGTTACCTGCCTTGTGCTCTCTCTCCCCTGCCAGCACTTCTATGCTATGAGGATTTCTTTCAGCACTTTCTTATCGTTGACATGCTTGTACTTCTTATGTTTCCTCTTCTGTGCCGGCGGCCGGCGCACTCGCCGCCTCTGTGAGACAGCGGCTGTGGTGAACGCCGGGGACAAGCCTGCCAAAACAGAGGGGAGAATGTCTGTACAGCCAGGGGCAGACGGCTCCTGTTGAAATATCCCTCTCCACACACTGTCAACAAAGAGCTCTGCAACAGCAGGACCACAAGGCCTCTTTCTGTTCTTGTGTTCCTTGTCCTCTGTTCTCCGCAATCTCTGCCCTCTCCCTTTTCCCACCGTGCCCTTCCCCTCACCTCTCACCTTCCCCTCCTTCTTTTCCCTCTGTTTCAGCCCCTTCCTGGCAGACAGACATCCTGGGAAAGGTCCCTCAGCTGGTATAAACCAGCGAAGGCCCTTGGCATTCACTGGAGCTAAGCAGATTGAAACCAGTGGAGGTCTCTTTTCTCTCTCCCCAGCCCCTCTTCTCACACCTCCCTTCACTCTACTGAAGCCAGGATCCTTACGTCTCTGTTCACGTGGCCCGGGCCGGATGTTCCTGGGGGGTGGTCGGAACACGGCTTCACACCGACACTGCACGTGGTCCTCCAAAGGCACAACGACTTTTGTGAACTTTGGCTTCCTCTGGACAAATTCGATCTTGTTCACCTATTTGCAAGAGGAAGGCAAGAAAAAGATTAGTACATCCACGGCTCCCACTCTGTAAAATTAGTCAGTGTCAGTGGACTTTAGTCCTGGCTTTCTTCCTAAAGGATCAGAAGGCACCTTACAGAGCCCTGTTCAAACTCAAAACCCAAACTCGAAACTCAGACTTAGGGGTGGTGTGTATGGGAGATAATTCTAAACGTGGGAGATAATTCTGAAGATGGCAGCAGAGCAGATCCAGACCAGGCAAGTTTGGATGTCTCTGGTTGGCTCCCCTGATCCTAACTATTGCCAGAGCTTAAGCAGGATGGCTGGTTGGTCAGGGAGAGAAACATGGAACATGCAGTCTGTTTCTGACAGATGCCATGGCAGAGACCTGGGGCAACCGGGATAATTCCCACAAGAACCTACAGGAAGGGCAAAAGGAGAAGACCTCAGGTCTGAAGCAAGCTAACGCAGCCTCACCAGCTCTGCTGAGGCCTGTCTGAATTTGTCTCAAGCTCTTTAATGACTCGCAGGGCTGAAGCCCTCAGCTCCTCATAGGAAAGGCGGTGCTCTGGAAATTCCCCCGGACTCTCCACCAGTGCTGACTCAGAGGGAAGACTCATTGCTCCACATCCCACCACAGGGCACAAGCTTTCTAGGGGGTCCTCCCACTCCATCAGCAGCCAGGCCTGACCCCACTCAGCTTATCTAACAGTTCTGCGGTCCCTGAAGTGCTCCACAAGCTATAAATACTCACTCTGCTCTGCATCTGGGATGGAATTCCTCTAAACCCACTGCCCCCAGCAGCATCCCTCAGCCAGTGCCAAAGCAGCCAGGCTGTTTATCTTTCCTTGAAAGCCCACTCCACACGCTTCAGACCACACGCTGCCTGCTAGACAAACACTTCCAGCCAAACAATAGAGAGACCTCTGTCCTCAAAGAAACCATTTCCAGGTCACTTTTTCAGGCTGGCTTTTGACCTCTCACTTGTTTTTTTCCAGAAAAACAACTCCTGCTCCCCCCCATTTTTTCCTCGTTCAGCCTGGCTTTTCTGAGAAAGGAATTTCCTGATGAAAAGGGCTGTGTGTGAATACAATCTCTCCCAGCCAACCTCTGCTGCCTGCCTGGGGGAGTCTCTTATGGCTCAGGCAGAGGATTAGTACGAGAGGAATATTATTTTTAAATAAGCTGTCTAGGAGGAAGCTGTGAGGAGATCACTGGTAGCTGTGAGGGGAGGATCAGAGCAAGAGGTTAGCTGTCAGGTGTCTGCTGGCTGATGGAGCAGGTCAGGAGGTAACTGTGTGCTGAGAAAGAGAAGCTGTTCCAGCGCACATCTCGGAAAGAAGCTCCAGCAGCAGTGGAGGGATGGAGACTGACACTGCAAACCCTTCTCTTTTTGCATCAAAACCGGTCCCCGTGATGAAAGCACCCTGTTTCTTCTGCTCTAACACAGCAGACAAGCTGCCTCAAGCTACAGGAAGGGCCTTAGAGTGGAGCTGCAGATGGGGGCAGTGCCCTGTAGCTCTGCCTGGGGACAGTTCCCAGCTGCTGGACAGCACCAGCCCTTCCAGCAGCTGGCAGGGACATCACCCACGCCAGCGGCTGCAGCTCTGCATGGCCAGCGCAGAGGGGACAGACGGCTGAGTGACCCCGGCACCTGAGACCTGCCCGAGTTTGGCTCTGGGCACAGGGATGGACGAGGGCAGCAGGAGGAGGGAGCAGTGATGTCCCTCACCTGGACGTGCCGCACGCGGATCTGCGTGGGGCGGCACTGCACGTTGCGGTTGTTGCAGCAGCCGGAGCAGCGCTGCACCTCCACGCAGGGCGGCCACACCACGAAGTTGGCGTTGGTGCTGTCCACCATGTTGCGGGAGATTTCGAAGACCACCTCCCGTGTCTTGCACTCGGCCAGGACTGCTGTCTCTGCTGCTGCCAGAGCATCTACGGATGGCCAAGAGAGAAACAGGGGATGAAATGGGCTTTGCAGCTGCCACCAACCCGCCACAGCCACCTCTGGTGCAAGTGACAGACCCCACACAGCTCTCAGGTGCACAAGCACACACAAATGCTCTTTCTCTTTCTCCCACCCTCCAGCTCTCTCCCTGTACAGAGCCATGCCCTGTGGAGGAAGCCCCAGTACAGTGATGCTTCTCACTGCAGCCCAGACAGCAGCTGACACCTTAGAGCAAACAAACACCATCAGGATTTAAGGCAGAGCAGTGCACAGAAGTCCAGACTCCCTCTCCTGCCCTCCCAGGATGAAGCACCCAGCTCCCACTCCAGGCCCAGACCCTCATTTTTATGTCTCCACACACACAGGTGCACTACAACCTCTACCCCTACATCTGTAGCTCAGACACGTATCTGGACCACCCATAGCTGCTCACCCGTGGCTGCTCCCCAGAAATCACAAGGTGCAAGACCCCCAGCTCACCTAGGCTTCGTCGCTCTCGAGACAGGGCCACAGGGTTTTGATCAGGCTGAGATGCATTCAGGCTCAGGCTCGAGCTGTCCTGCTCTGCAAAAGGGAAGACATGACCCAATAGCACCAGGCAGAGGCAGGAGAAGACAGCAGGCACTTGTGCTCAGATCACCAGGCAAAGTGCAGGGACACGGGATAAGCCACGGACCCAGGACGTCATGCTAGGTGTAAATCCACAAACAAGGTCACAGCTGTTCTGGGGCACGGACACTCTTTGCTCAAACTAGGCAGCTCAGAGCAACATGCCTATCACGAAAGAGGGGATCCAGTCAGGTCTTGGAGAGGAAAACTCCAGCTCAAGAAAGATAAGGCTCATGTCAGGACTTTCTGGTGTCAGAGAGGAGTTGCAGAGGGATCCAGATTGGCCAGCTGAGACCAGGATAACAACAAGGAGTATCAAAGACCAGACAGAACAAGCAGAACACTTGGTATTTAACACTGAGGTGCCTTGCTGGGATGGCTTGGAACTGGGAGAATTGGGAGGTGAGAGGGCAGGTGAAGGGGGGGATGGGTGGTAGGTGGGGTGCTTGCTTTCTCTCTCCCAGCTCACTTCAGCTGCTCTATCTTAGAGCAGTTTTATGGCAGAAGAACAGAAAAATGAAGTTAAAATGACTTTCCCTCTAGACTGCTCTAAGGTAAGAGGCAGGATCTGGAGGTGGTTCAGTCGGCGATGGGAGAGGAAGACCGATAGCATTCAGGCCAGCCCTGAGCAGTTCCCTCCCACCCCACTGCTTTTTCCCATAGGAAGTGCTGAATAGAGAAATGCCCATAATCCCCATGGAGCACTCCAACACGCAGCCCCTCCTGAGCTCGGGACAATGGCTGCGCTCGAAGATAGCTCCCACCCAGCCACAGCTCTTTCCTTCTCTAACCTGCTTTAGCAGCTGAAGGAAACTGAGTGGACGTCAGCATCAAGGGAGCAATTTTCTTAAAGGGAATTAGGGGCCGGTGGAAGATCTCTGTTTATCAGATGTGTGGTGGAGCAGACTTCCCTTACCTATCGTGTCCCATTCCTCTTCCTCAGCCCTGCCCTAGTGCAGCCCTCTCATAAAGGGAAGCAGGGACTTTGCTCCCTGCTCAGGTCTCAAGCAGTTGCTGACAGATTTGGAGTGGGTGCACAGAGGCTGCATTCAGGAGACAGGAATCATGTGCCTGTCAATGAGCAGTCAACATCTAAGTGTGAGGTGGACAGACAGACACTCTTTAAAGTGGCTGGAAAGGTGTGATCAATTCTAGGCACCATTCGTCTCACCCTCAGGCAAACTCCCAAATGAGAACTGGTGGATCACACTTTAGAAGAGCCTGTAGTTCTCTTTGGACTAGAGAAGGTGTCTGGATGACTGGTTTACATGGGCAGCCACTGCTTTGTGGGCAACCACAGTTAAGGAGACGACTCCCACTCTCCACACTTCTGTTGCTGGGTCTGCAGCAGTGCCCAAGGTCAGGAGAGCACTTTCTCAGCCCATCTGCCTCCTGGAGCTGCCTCATTCTGGCTCCTCGTGCAGCCAGCGAAGGGAAGCAGCTGTGACACACTCAGGGTGCACAGACAGCACAGGGAATAGCTCCAGCCACTTTGGGATTATTTTGCTCGCACACTAATTTGCTAATTCCTCACAGGGCAAGAGAATGTCTATGCTCCTCAGTCAGTACCTGGGAACAGATGAGAGCCACGGGGTGGAACAAAGAAGCAGCTTCACAGCACCACTTTTTGTTTCTCTGACCAGCCTTTCCTATCTGGAACCTGAAGTGAAACCAGTGACTCAAAGCTCTGCAGCCTTCTCTCATACCCTTGGGCTTCTGGAGCCAACCAGATAAGCCCTTTTTATTTCTTAATCATGAGGTTGGTTAATAGCCATGATAGAGATGTTCCTTAGACACTGGGCCATGCCAGATTGGATGCATCTTCTCAGCTGCTCCTTGCCCACCCCTCCATCCTGTGGCATTTCACCAAATGAATGTGGGGGCTGCCTTTGGTGCACAAGTTGAGTTTGATGGGAGGAGAGAAATGGGGGCAAAAAACTAGCAACAACTGTTGACTCAAAACAAATCTGTTGAGAATCACGTCCCTCCCTCTTCTAGGTTGTCCTTCTACACCCTGGATCAGTACTGAAGACATTTGGGGTGGGGGAACCAGCACGGGACAATCCAGCAGGGCTAATTTTGGAAGTTGCCCCATTGTGTGGCTCGTGGACAAGGAGGAGGGAACTGGTGAGGGCAGGGAGCGGCCCTGGCAGTGGTGGGGAGCCTCGTCGCCTCTTTCTAAGACAAACAATAGCTGAACGCAGCTGGTGCCCTCCCCCTCGCTTTCCCCCCTGCCCCTCCAGGGCCGTTTTGAAAGGCAGCGGGAATGCTTTTGAGACTGCGCCAGTGGTTGGACTGGCATAGGAAACAAAAGCAGGAAATTCTGTTCCCCCGTAGATAGTGTCTCGGCAAGGATTACAAAGCTCAAAACAGACAAAACACGAGAGAGAAGTCGAGCTGGGGGGGCTGGGGGACGACGGGCGGGAGCAGGGTTAGAATAGAAAGGAATTTGCTCTGAAGAGACCGTTTATAAATAAATTCCTGGGCCAGCCCAGCCGCCGCGGCGCGTGCTCCAGTTCCCACACGTGCCGACCCCTCCACGCTTCGCTGCTCCTGCTGCTCCCTGCAGTCAGCCCTGGCCAAGTGACCCCGGGGCCCTGCAGCCCCCGGAGCTCTTATCTACGGGCAGGAGGTGAAGCGACGCTACCCTGGCTTAGCCCCTGCCCCGTAGCTCACCCACGGACACGTGCTCTGCTGCTCTCATCCCAAGGGCCTCTGGGAGCCCGCGGCCTTTTGTGGATGCCAGACCTGGAAACCCACTCGGCCTTTTCCTCCTCTGTCACCCTATTTCCACCTCCCATTTTGCTGCCTCCTAAACTTATCCTTGTCCAATTCAAGCCCTGCTTACTGAGCTTCTCCCAGGGTGAAGAACGGGAATCTCAGTTTCTTGCACTCACCTTGCCCATCTCATTGCACCATGTTTGGAAGCCAGTGTCCAGACAGTTAGGAGATCTAAAAATGCATCTAGTTGCCTCTAACTCCTGTAAGTTTCAGGGGGATTAAGTCTGTAAGCAGCCAGGTTTTGGCTCCTGAATGGTTCCTGTATTTATAATGAAGTCTATTGATAGTGTGCCCACTGAAAAACAGAATATCCCCTCCCAGCCCCCCCAAAGACTTAATTAAAAATAGAGGAGTGTTTGGTGAAGAGGAGATTTACCTACGGAGTCTATCCGCAGGGCGCGCTGGAGGTCACTGATGGAGCGCACTGAGCTGCCACCCAAAATCTCATAAATGTCTTCGGGTATGGGGTCCCCCTGCCAGACGACAAAAACAAAAGAAGGGGAGAAACAAGCATTAGAGACACAATCTGCAGGTACTGGCTGTGTCACGGAGCAGGAGCAGGGAGTCAAGCACAGGGGGGACATGACAGAATCAGCAAAACTCCAAGACGTGCGTTGTCTTGAGTTGCCTTTGAAACCTTGAGGGCTTTATTCCTCATGAAGACATGAACCTGAAACCTAAGCAAAATCAAGAGAGACCCTCTTGCTGTCTCTTGCAAAGCTGTCAGGACACTAAAAAAGCACAAAAATTCCCCAGGCTGTGCAGCAGAGCCCTGGACACCACGCAAGCAGCCAGCAAGGCTTCCTTCTCCGGTGGTGTATGACTTCTCCAGGTGGCTTCTCATTCCTGCTGCCTGCAGTAAAGGCGTTTTAACAGACTTCCCCTACACTATCAGATAAAACCTTCCTAATATTTCCCTCCGTTATGAAACTCCTTCACGGGCTTTGTCAGTTATCGTGTGTATGTGCGTGTGCGAGCGCGTGTGTTTCCAAACCACAGAGGCCCAATAATATACATCATTTGCATACTCTTTTTTAAGTAAAAAAAAAAGCCAGGGGGTGGAGATGAAGGTTGACCTTCGTGGCTGAGGCTGCCCCAGCATGAGCCTGCGGTGAAATCACAAAAGCTGCAGGGAGGTGATGGGCTGAGGAGATGATTTGGAGGAAGAAACATATGGGAGTTTGGATGTCGTTGCACACCAGCACAAAAAAACCTTAAGTAAGCAGGTTTAGCAACATCAGACAATGGGCCAAATACAGAGTTTGTGCAGGCAGGTGCAATGCCATCAGTCTCTTGGGAATTTTACTCTGGCACTAGGATAGAGCGGGCCCCAGTGACAGCACTTAATAAGAGTACAAAGGAGTGGTGTGGGAAAGCAAGTGCTGATTAAAACATGCTTCCGAAAGACTAGAAAAAGACAGAGGAAAGTACTGGCCGAAGTGTTTGCTTAGCTCCCAGCTCTCTTCATTCAGAGCTACTCAAGTGGAAAAGCTGCTCTTTCAGCCGGGTGCTGGACGACGTCTGAGGCACAGCCCTCCACATGTCCCTGTAACTGAGAGGAGAGCTTGGCTTGTGTGCCTGTGAAACAGGGCAGGGATTTTCGTGTGGGTTTTTGTGGACAGTTGGTGGCATGTGTGTGGTCCTCCTACTGTACAGCTATTCCCTCCCTGTCTGCGTTCAGTGCAGAACATTTTCCTTCCGTTCGCAGCAGAGAAAAGCCACCAGGCAGGTGGCTAAATGTTGGCTTTAAACCTTGAGGGCTTTGGCCCAAACCTGCAGCCACTTTTGGATGGCTGCTTGAGCCTGGCACTCTCTCACACGTGCCTGTCCTTGGCCACCCACTGTTTGCTTCCACAGCAGGACAACAGGAGCGCTCCCTCCTCAGCCCTGCCAGACCACCCTCTAATACTATAACTTTAACTGGGATGCAGTGATGTGAAGGTTGCTGCAGCCCAGGGAGGTTCAGAAACCTCCTGAAGAGAGCTGCAGAGCAGACAGCATCAGAGTCCTAAGCCTCCCACAGCCAGATCCACCAGACAGCTTCAGTCAGACCGAGCTTTCCTGCCCCGCTCCATCCCTGTCAGTGCCACATCTCACCACAGACCTGGCTGTCCGCCCGCAGCAAAAAGCAGATATTACATCCCCAGGCATTACTTCCTCAGTCTCTGAGGGAGGGGGAAGCAGCATCAGTGATGAATGCACAGCGAGAGAGAGACTTGTATAATTCAGGGATCACTGAATAGCTGTGAAATGAAGATGCCTTCTGACATCTCCTGCTGCGTGAGGAAGAGAGGGACCAACAGCCCAGTGCTGGAGAGGCTCTGCAGCACTTCCCTGCCTTGTGCCACACACATTTACTGGAAGAGGGATCATTTGCAATTCCCAGTACTTGCAGTCAGAGCTCAGTGCTGGGTGGTGAAATTGCAGGCTTTCAATGTTTGCACCTGTCAGCCAAACGCGTTTGTGTACAAATGCTGCTCTGCACGGATGCCTCTGGACCTTCCTGACACTTAATACACGTAGGAAATGGAACTTTATTTTAAACTCTGGCACTTGTTGGGGGGAGAGCGTGGGCAGGTGTTACGAGACTCAGACTCGGTGACTTTGGAAGCGAGCTGGGAGGTGTCACCTTGCTAACTGAGCAGGAGGAACAGATCTGAATCAGGGACTGAAAATGCAGGCCCTCAGGAGCTGTACTTCTGGTGACTGCCTGTAGCAATAAGCTCCACTCCCTGCTCACGGCAGCAGTTTTAGATGCCAATTTTTTCTTCTTGCAGATACTACCAGCATGGCTATGGTGTAACACCAGCCCACACAGCTCATAATCCTGTCCTCCTCCCCCATCTTTGTAAGGCAACTCTGCCAACGACAACTGCAAGCCTGTGAAGCTCCTTACCTTACCCTTGTAAACCAAGGCCAAGGCTGGCCTAAGAGCAGCAACAAACCTGAGCTGAATGCCTTGTCCCTGCTCCCTCTGGGGTCTATCACTGGGAACAGCCATGCCCCTGGCCCCAGCCCTGTGCCTGGGAGGCTCTGAGATGGAGCACTGCACACACCCAGGCTGGGGCGCTTGTGGGATGAGACACAGGGAAGCAGAGGTCCATCAATCACCTCCACCTAGTCCCACGGGGTCAGAAGGTAGAGCAGCATTGAGAGAGGTGGGATCCCCAAGAGACCAGCCCAAGCAGCTGGTGCTTTTCCTGCTCAGCAGCTCCTCTGGAGTTATTTGTCTAACACAGGTTAACAATCTCCTTTTTTAACTGTGCGGCAGATCAAAGAAGACTTTTGTCTCAATGGACTCTTGGCTGGCTGTCAAGTGCCCCAAGGCCTGGCCTCGTATTCCTGCGAGGCCCTGAATTCTTAGAAGAAAGCTTGTTCTTCCCTCCCTCCTTCTGCTCCCCAGTTCCTGACTCTGACTCTCCCCTGAGTGGCAAGGGCACCCCCCAATCTGCCAATCCTTGGCAGGGACATTCACTTCCCTTTCTTGTGCTGGTTGCTGGTGCTTGAGGGGCCATGGCACATCTGACAGAAGGCAGCAGAGCAGCTGCTGCCTGCACTGGGGCTGTTGCACTGGGGCCTCTCAGCACACCAGCCTTGCTCCCCTCCTCCAGATGTCCAGCAGCACTGTTTGGCCACTGCAAATAAATGCAGGTGCAGCAGTTCCCCTGTTCCCGCTCCCCACACATGCACTTTCCCAAAATCTGCCTCGTCCTTAGCCCCACCACCTCTTGCTCTGGGAGTTTTCCCCCAGCTCATGCTTTTGAGCACCAGGGATGCTGAAAGGTCCCCTTGCCAGCAGAAGCTGCCGAGCTGGTGCAGGGGATAGGCAGTGCTGTGGTCTGCTCGCTCTGGGAGGGTTTCACAGTCTTGCCTGAAGGTGTGTCTCTTGCTAGGTACAGAGGAGGAGGAGGGAGCAAAGATTGTGCAACCAGCAGGGAAGGCAGACCCTCAGGGCTCAAAGAAATCAGACAGGGATACTCCCAAGGTTAGGACTCCTCCAGTTCCTTTTTCCAAGCTGGTGTGACTGCACACAGAAGGACAGAATGGTGTCAGCAGCACCAGTTTGTGAAGGGCAGGGAAACACCCACCTATTCTCTCCTCTTCCCAGGAGAGGAGGACTTTCTGAGCACCTCCACCCCAACCATGGCAAGGGATCAGGTGATCAGCCAGGCAAAAACCCCAAACAAACAGCATTTTTTAATTCCCTCTGAAGCTGATGTGTGGACCCTGAGGGGAAACTCCACTGCATTCCCTGGCAGAGGGCAAGACCAGCAGCACCTGCCACCAGCACTCCCCTGGCACAGGGCTTCCACCCTCCCAGCACCACTCCTGGCTACAGGGGGACCCTGACAAAAGCCTGCCAGAGTGCTCTGCAGCAGGTACAACCCTCTCCACATGAACCCCTTCCACCTGGAGCCACGGCTTATGTTTCCCCCCCTTAAAATAATCAAACAACGTTTGATCTAGTCCGTGTTCCTAAAATACAGCCAGACCTACCCACGCTTCTCCCATTTCAAGGGGGACTCCACTGCTCCTCCAGACTCCCCCCACAGCTCCCCTGCAAGGGCTGGAGGCATTTCCACCCCCGGGGCTGGTTGTGTACCAGCAGCACTGGAAAGAGCGCAGGAGCCCTGTCATTCCCTCCTGCTGCTGCACATCAGCTGACAGTGAGAGGGAGGCAGGGACAGCTCGCCCGGCTCCTTCAACAAGCTCACCCCAGACGTGTCATCCATCCCAGCTTCCACTGCTTTGTCCTTGTCACTGCCTCGTGCTAGGAGGACTAGGGGAGAACGCCGGAGCCTTGCAGCAGGAAGAGGCAGTGGGGAGCTGGGTCGAGGCTATAAGCAAGAGCCCAGCCGCACCCCATTCCTTGGGAATTCCAGAAAGCGCTGCCAGTGGGGCTTCACCCCGGCACAACCACGGCTGGCTCAGCCCATCTCTGTAAATGTTGCAAGGCAACTATTAGAGCCCGTGGGGCAAATGCAAATAGGTTTAGCATCCTCGCTTCCCAACTGGCAAATACCTTCCCGCTGAGGCTTGCACTCCCTCCGGCTGGAAGAGCTCCAGGGCCCTCCAGCTCCAGATGGGTGTGATCAAAGAGGGAGAGGGACTCAGGAGGCTCCATCTCTTTGCTCAGGGCCTCTGCTGATCTGGGGAGCTACTGCTCCTCGTGCACTTTCTCTGGCACGGCTGGGGAGGAGCTGCAAGGCCAGGCAGAGGATGACTCTGGTTCAGCAGCCTGGTGGGAGCTGAGCTGCCTGTGCCCGGTGCAGAGGGTGCAACACTCTGCCCTCAAAGTGGCTGTGAGCACTGGCTGCAGGCTGAAGCATCTGCCCAAGAGGAAACCTTCTTGGTTCTCCTGTCATGCAGTGACAAATACCACAATTCCTCCCATGAAGGGGCCAGAATTACCAAACTCTAACTCTACTAGGCTGTTGTAGAGGTGTGCAGTATTTCAATCTGATTATGGCAACTGAGTAACAGCGACTTGGGATCAGACACTTCCATCTTCACCCTTCCCCAGTGCCAAGCCTAGCTGATGTTTCGTGCTGGATGGAAGAGATCTGAGCCATCCACAGAGGAAATACCATCCTCTGCCCGAAACAAGCATGACCACTGGGTAGCCCACAGCTCTGACTGCTTCCTTTTGTGGCTGGGGCAAGGGCGAAATGGGCCCACGGTGAGGTGACGTGATGCTTTGCACCCAGCCTCTTCCTTGCCATCTCACAAGGGGTGCACCCACTTACCCTGCCCAAAAATGAGGAAGGAAAAGAGAAAAATGATGCAAAGAAGGGAAAGTTTTGGCGGAAGGATATTTCCTGCCCCTGACAATCAAGCTGCAGATCCAACCCACAGTTTTGCCATCTTGGGCAGAGCTGAAGTGGGAACCCAGCGCTGTGTGGGAATGTTAGGGGCTTTCTGCTCCCCTCAATCTGCATGCAATCAGATGATGAACTGTGACAGCAGAGGTCAAAGGATTTGGGGGTTTGGGGTTCCTTTTCCTCAACCAGGGCTGGGGAGGAGGATTCAATTTCCACACAGGGAAACTGAAATGGGTAGGGGTGTTTGTTCAAATCCACCACCCGGCCCTTACCCTCTGCTCAGCTTCTTCCTAAGCAGCACGTTCAGGGCTGCTGGGCATGATGTTTGTGTGACTGTGGAAGCCCAGCAGACACTCACCTCCTGCCCCTTTCCCAGCCGGGCACACACCTTGCTGAATAACCATGCCACTCGGTGTGCCTCTACTGGCACCGTCCTCTTCCTCCCGCTTTCCAAAGCCCCACGCCCTTTCTCCACTGCCTCTTGGCAATGCCAGGGTGGATTTCACACCGTGCGTTATTCCAGAGGCGTCAAGAGGGCCCCGGTCCCTGCTGCACCCGCACTGCCGTGATGCCAAAATCACGGGGTGGGGTGAGAGGCTCGAGGAGCTGGCACCCGCCCCGGGGCGACAGCCCTGGGCGAGGCAGGGCAGGAAGCTGCGGGTTCCCCGGGGCTCGCCAGCAGCATCCCTGCTGCCACATTAACCGGGCCGCTTCAGCCGGGTCTCCCCTGCCCCTGCGGCCGCGGGCAAACACGGGGGTGGGTGGATTCCCAGGCGAGCCCCCCTCGGCTCCAGAGGGGCGTTCACTCCAGAGGGGTGCTCACTCCAGAGGGGTGTTCATTCCAGAGGAGTGCTCACTCCAGAGGGGTGTTCATTCCAGAGGAGTGCTCACTCCAGAGGGGTGCTCACTCCAGGGGGGTGCTCACTCCAGAGGGGTGCTCACTCCAGGGGGGTGTTCACTCTAGAGGGGTGCTCACTCCAGGGGGGTCTCACTCCAGAGGGGTGTTCACTCCAGAGGGGTGCTCACTCCAGAGGGGTGTTCACTCCAGAGGGGTGCTCACTCCAGGGGGGTGCTCACTCCAGGGGCGTGCCCATTTCAGAGGGGTGCCCGCTCCGGAGCGGTGTTCACTCCAGGGCGGTGCCCGCTCCCGAGGGGTGCCCGCTCCAGCGGGCGCTGCCCTTCGTGGGGGCGGCGGTCGCTGCCCGCCATTAGCGCGGCCGGCCCCGCCGCAGCCCTTCCCGCGGAGCGGGGCCGGCTCCTCTCCCCGGGCTCCGCTCCCCCCGGCTCCGCTTCCCGGGCTCCTCTCCCCCGGCTCCGCTCCCCCGGGCTCCGCTCCCCGGGCCCCGCTCCCCGCCGTCCCGGGCTGTGCCCGCCGCACCTGCGGCCGGAGCGCCGGCGGCTCTCGCCCGGCTCGGGGCTGGCAGCTCGGCAGCACCGCCCGCTGCCCGCGGCGGAAACTCACCTCCATGCGGGCCAGGGGCAGCGAGAGGATGAACGCGAAGACCACGCCGAAATTCATCCCGACTCCAGGCCCCGCCGGCTGCGGGCACATGGACGGCGAGCCCCGGGAGGGAAGCGCTTCCCGCAGACAGCCCCGCGGCCGCCCGGCCTCAGGCATCGAGGGCGCTGCGCGTTCCCATGTCCCCTGCCAGCCGGGAGGAGGTGGGAGAGTCGCAGGAGCCCTTGGAAGAGGACGTGGAGGAGGTGGTGGTGGTGGTGAGGGGAGACAGAAGTAATTCTCGGTGACTCGCCTGCCTCTGCGCTATCTCATAAGCCCGGTGGGAAAAAAATGCAGTCCCTCGGAATTATACACATCCAGAGTCTGGGTCCCCCTTGCCGCAAGGGATGCTTCAGTGGTGCCTCTGGCTAGGTGGTCCACATGCTATTCTTCCTCTTGGTTTTCTTCCCTTTAAAAAAAAATGTCTATCTGTAAAAGCTTTTACATGCAGGCAACAATGTCTCAATGTTCTTAAAAGAAGGTGCACAGAATAGTAACTAAAAGGAAAAAAAAAACTTTTCCAAAGTTTGGTGTGAAATCCAAATAATGAAATCTTCTTCCTTAAGTTGTCCTCTTAAAATGCTCCTTTCCTTCCTTTTTGCCACTTGCTTTTTAGAGAAAAGTTGCCAGTGTGCACTGAATTTCTTCCCCTTACATTAGATTCTGGCTCGGGTGCCTTCTCGTTCCAAGTGCTGGCAGTTTGCTTGGACAGGAGGTTTGCTTTGGGTTTGGAGACAGGTGAGAGCAAATGTTTTTGCTCTGGGTTGAGAGTGTGTGTTTGTGTGCGTGCGCTGAGCCTTGACAAGCCTCGAAGTGGAGCCACTGGTGATGCCTCCTGCACTCTGTTGCAAAAAGAAAGGAAAAATAAAAAAAAGGCAGAAAAGGTAAAATTGCAGGAGAGGCGAGTGAGCCGACAGGTCTTTATTTTCTGCGAGCTGCAAGAGAGACTAAGCTGGCACTCGGGGCTGCTCCTTTTATGAAGGAGAGGAGATGGGTGGAGCATAACTTGCCATCCTCCTCTTTGGCTGGGTATCAAGGAACAAATCTAGTGAGGGAGTAGCAGTTCATTGCTGACAAAATAAAAAGTGTGTTAATTTAAAAGATAAATTAATTAAAAATGACTAATGCTGCAGCAACCTGTATAATGTGGCTTTAATATCGCGTGAGGAATGGGGACAGAAATTCCTGCCTCCTCGGCAGGAGATAAGAAGAGAGGAGTTCCCGGCACGGTAGTTTGTTATTTTTTTTGGCCCCAGTTTCTCGCTGTTTCAGTCTGGAGCCCATTCCTCTAAGCTGCACTCGCTGCCTTCCCTGCCCTGCTACACCACTAGCTCCAGGGAGAGAGATGACTTTAATATCTCACATCTCTTTGTGTGCAGGGGAAAAAAAGAAGCCAGAGAAATTTACACGTCGCTATAAGACAATCTGGTGTTGCTCGTGGCACCCGGAGGTATTTTGCTGCATGATTATCTCCTCGATGTAATAAACATCTGAAGGGAAATTAAGCCAGCAGATATTTGCTGTGGGGGGAGAGGGATGGGGAGGGGAAGGCTGCTAACAGGTGAGTTCAAGAAAGAGTCATATCCTCTTGAAAAAAACACCCTCTCCCGTACACGCGAGCGATCTGGTGGCGCCGGCTCGCAGAGCGCACTCCAGGCACGACCAGGAGGGATCTCTGCACCATCTTTGTGCAGGCTCGCATCCACAGAGACATTCCTGCACCGTCATGCACCGCAGGCGCTCGCTCGCTCGCTCGCTCTGAATCCCAAGCATCTCTCCCCTGCTTTTCCTATGCTACGCACACGCTTCTGCTCGAGCCGCTCGCATGCACAGCTACGTGCAAATTTTGTCTCATTCACACATCCCTGGGCATCCATGTGTTCTCCTTCAGTCTCCCCCTCTCTCTCCCTTTCTCACATGCATACACCCACTGGCGTAGCGGTGGCCTCATCTCACAGCATCACACATGCTCCCTTAGACTCTCTGGGTGCCTGAAAGTCTCCAGCAGCCAAGCCTCCCTAAAACACATGGTCTGGCACCAGCACTCCCATATGCACCCTCCAAAGTGCCCGGGTGCAGGAGGAGCAGCCCCTGGAACTGAGCAGCAGGCAGCCCCCCAAATGCTCCTCTGCAGCAGGCACCTGGCAGCACATCCCAGCTTGGCTGGCTATGCCCCTGGACCTGGTTTTGGTCTCATGGATTTGGGTGTTGGTCAGGAAGCACAGGGACACAAGGAATCCTCCATAGAGCTAGCTTAAAATAGCCTGGGTGCTCTGGGGCAGCACGTCAAGGTGCTCTTGGGTCACAAGGGATCACCTTCACTCACCCTAACCCAGCAGAAGAGTGGGCAGATTTCTCCCAGGTGGGGAGTGGGCCAGAGCCGTGTCAGCTCCAAAGCCCAGGCCATCTGAGGTGCATGAGTGCAGGGATAAGGAGGGTCCTGGGACTCCCTCAAACCGAGTCTCAAGTGGCTCGGTTCCAATATTGGAGCTCAAGGGGGAGGAAGTAGAAATGCAAGGCATACCTTTGCTGATTTCCACCGCCAGAGACCTTAACAAGACTTTATCTTAGATGCTCCAGCCATGATAGCCCCGTCCCACCCCAAATTCCTCAGGACGCTCTTAGAATTCCCCTCATTCTCCATCCTGGCCCGCCAGCATGGTACCAGCCATTTCAAGTGATGGTAATGGAGCTGCAACCCTGGGTGCTGAAACACCTTTAGAAATCTGTAGAGGGCTTCAAACAAATGGTTTTAAAAGGGCCTCAGTCCATTTCACCTCTTTCCAAATGGCACCAGCCAGAGAAACGCTGTCGCCTTGGCTCCTTAGCAGTCAGCAGGGGGAAAGGTGAGCATTTGAGAAGTCCTTCCATCTCTGTAGAGGGCTCTGGGGACAACTGGGTCCTGAATTTCCATGACCTCTTTATGTATTGAAGGTTCCCAAGGGGTCAGTGGAGGCCCAGGTGCCTTTTGAGGATCTCTGTCCCCAAATAAGCTGGCGTGGCTCCACCACCTTCGTGCCACCTGTGTGGGGAGTCCCTCACGCTGTAGTGGCTTCCTGGCCAGGACAGAACAGCCTGCGTGTGGGAGGGCTGATCAAATTCCTCAGCAGAGAGAGATATTGCTGCCAGAGAGGAGAAGGTCTCAGCAGAAAGCTAGCAGGGACTGCTGCAAATTTCTCACTTGGTAGCAACAAGAGCTGCTGCAGGGCCTGATTTTGGGGGAGATATGGTGTGCTTTTTTTTTTTTTTTTTGAATATCCGGCTCTATTACATGCTAGATGGGATAGAAATAGAGTTATTTATTTTCATGTGGATGATGCTGGGCAGTTTTTAGAAGCTCGACATCAGAAACAAAAAGCTAATCCCTGTTGAACCTCCAGACAGCAAGGAAGAGGATGTTTGGAATTTGACTAATCATCTACCTATGACCCTGCCTGGAAATAGAGCAAAGTGATACTCAAGCTGCTCAGGCTTCAGCAGTTTTTCTGTTTTTAAGACAGGGACAGATTTTTCTCTAGTGATGTCTTTAGACTGGCTGGGTCAGTCTCACTGGCACTGAGTTTGATAGGGGTGCATGCACCTACATCTGCTGTACCTTGAGCCTTCTGGGGGCTCCCTTGATTCTCTTACTTCTGTGAAATTAGTTTGGCATCTGTCCCACAAACCCCTAAAACCAATGGGGATAACTGGATCTCCCTCTCACCTGGCCTGTGGGGCTACTGGTGTCCCAGATGTCACAGGTTAAGGGATTGGAACCACCAGGGCATATATTGGGAAGGTATTTTGAGGCTACATGAAGCATCTGGACCATAAAAATGCCCCATTAGAGCACCAGGACTTGACAAGATCTGGTTGCAACTGTGCTAGCTGGCAGTGGCCCCGCAGACAAACCACAACAAAACAAGGTTTCCTAAGAGCCTGCACCAGGATTTCTTATTAAAACACTTTCACCACCACTACAGCTCTCAAACCTGCAAACAGCTGAACTCTTCTCCCTGGTTATTCTCTTATCACTAGGGAGGAGAGCCACACGTGTCTGAGGACAATAGGCAGTTCCTTGCTGCAAGGCTGCTCTCCCCTCATCTCGTGTTGATGGAAAAAATGATCGTGCTAGCCACCATCCACAGCAGCGTGGAGTGAGGGGTGACTTCTTTTTTTTTTTTAATTTATTACCCATTTTATTTCAGAGGGGGTAGGTAGAGAATTATGAAACAACAGGAAGAAAAACAGGGCTTACAATGGAAAGCAAGACTCAGTCTGAACAGCTGAGGTGTCTCAGCCTCTCCATGATGAGTCCTATTTTGAAAACAATCAATGGAAAGAAATTAGGAGGTGTTGACAGCCAACGTGTAGTCAGCCCTCCCACTCAAGGTATCTCGGCTAGGTGCTGCTGCTGCTCCGGTCCCGGAGTTCAGGAGCAGGATGAGCAATCCCTGCGCCTACGCCGTGGGGCTGCCGCCAGTGGAGGGGGACAAGCGAGAAACCTGGAGCAAGTTTTACACCTCCTTTACACCCGGAGCTCCCTTCTGTGGGCCAGCTGGGGTTTATCCCGGCTGAGCAGGGTTTATCCCGACTATCCCAGGGATAGGGCAGGGTTCCTGCGGGGAGCTCACGCTGTGTTCCACAGCCTGTGCCCCAGGGGTGCTCGCATGCGAGCTGCCCGACTCCCCAAGGACTGAGTCCGGTTTGGTGGAGGAGGAAAGGGGAAGAGAGACCAAAAGAAGGAGACAGAGACAAGCAAGGAGCTCGGTGTTTGTATTTGAGGCTGGAGAAAGGCACAGCCTCAGGGTACACAGGGCTTGCATAATTTGTCTTCCCGCCCCTGGCACTGGCAGGGAAAATGCTTTCCAAGGATGAGTAAAACCCTGACAGAGCCAGCGGCTCCAGGGGAAAGGGAAGGTGTCACCTGGGGAGCAGGCGTTTGATGGGACCTGCCAGGCTTTCCCTGGGAACCACCCCCTCTGCCTGCCTCTCTCCGTCAGAGGGATTCCCCCAGCCCCTCACCACCGCCCTCATCTCACCCATTCCTGGCAGGAGCCTGGCAGAGAGGAGAGGATGGGGAAGGGGGGCAGGACAAGCATGCAGACACATGCAGAGGGCAGAGCCCAGCCCCTGACAAC